CTTGGGAAGCGCAGTGGCGCTCCCGCCCGAGGGTTCGGATCCCACATACAGACCGGTTCCCGCTCACTGGCTGAGCGAGGCGCGGGAGCAGCACCGAGGGTTGTGATCCCGTTGCCGGTCCCCGGTCCGGTACGGGGGCAACACTGAGGGTTGCAATCCGTTGCCGGACACGGAAAAAGACAAAAAGACAAAAAAATATATATATATATATCAAGGCTGATGATGCCACACTGTTATGACATCTATTGTTGTTGGGGGGGGTTGTTTGTTTGTTTGTTTGTTTTTATTCTAATTTGATCTTGAGGTTTCTCTTTTGAGTGGCCACTATAGCCACTCCTTAGGAGAGCCCTGAGGGCAGGAGAGGTTGGAGGGATGGAGTTAGGTTCAGGTGCATGAGGAAGTGAGCCCAAAATGCATAAAACAGAAAAAATGTATTACTTGTAGTTCCCAAAGAGGTTAAGAGTATTGAGGGGAAGCCAATAAGAAGTCCAGAGGTAGCAAGGAGCTCAACCAGCAAGTGGAGAGCAAGAGAGAGAGGGATAGGACCTATGGGACTATGTCTTTATTAAGGTCTTGACAGGTGTTATCTCTTAGGGGATGTGGGGGCTGTGGATTGGCTAATTTTTTAAAAATGTGTGCAAAGAGGGTAACTTATTTACATGACTCTGGTGTTGACCATTAGGCTGTATCATGGTAAGCAACTGTGGGGTCTGTTGGGTTTTTGTCCATGGGATAAGGAATAAGTGGTCCATATCACAAACAACCACACAGGGAAAAGAAGTTTTAACTAGGCCAAAAGGGATGGTATGACTGGGTTTCAAATAATTTACATCGGCCTCAAAATGAATGAAGAGGAAGCAATTATATTAAACCAATTTATGACACATACATACATCAAGAGGGTATGAGAAAGTTTACTACTCACATAATGAGGTTTTCTGGCAAGCGTAGAGCAAACTGCAGCAGGTTCAAAACAACTTGAGAGGACAAGTTGAAGTGACTGGCTTTGACTTTCAATGTTATTGAGGTGTGGAACTACAATAAGAGTTCCACAGGCTGGGGCTTGTGTAGTTTGAACTTCTCACCAACATCAAAGGTGAGAAGACTTTCCTATAAGCCTGCCCAGATGTGAGGCAATATGGGAAAAGGGAGGGGTGGGGGCTTAACAGTTGTTGGTAGTCAAACATCAAAAATGGAGTCAGATACTTTATTACAATTCACTTCTGTTGTCTGATGACTTAAATATGCCAGGGATAGTTTAGTTGAATTTGAATGTAAGTCATCATGGAATTCTATGTGGCCTGCAGCCTGAGACTGATAAGGGAGATGAAAGATCTATTGAATACCTTGTTCAAGAGCCTAGTATTGTGTATTTTGAGAAGTGAAATGAGTGGTTTGTTCACCACCAATAATGTGTGTAACTCAAAGGAGATAGGGAATGTCTTGGTGAGGGCTTGTATTATGGCCTTTTGTATATATAGGTTCATGTCTTGCTGTTTTGCCCCCACGGATTTGTCACCCCTCTTCCCCTGGGTGACAGAGCCACAAAGGATTACTCAAAGCCCATCTCTTCTGAGCAGTGAAAAGCCCCAAAGTGACTAATCTCCCCCAGAACCCTCAAGTGAGAGGCATTCTTTCCATTTGGGAAATTAACCCTGAATTCAGGTTCTCTTCCTGCATTTATTCTCCAGCCCAGGGAGTTACAGTAAAAGACATAGGTCGGGTTAAAGTTTTAACAAGTTTTAAACAATAGAAGCTGGTAACATTCGGTAAAGACAAGTCAGATGACATTCCATTAAGGCGATTAAGTAGACCACCAACAAAAGCTTGATCTTAGCAAACATTCCTTCTTACAGCAATTTCCCAGTATCTTTACATATCAATCAGTAACTAGTCTGTCTTTGAGCCACCAACCTTGCTGTGTTAGAATTCTTTATCTTACACCAGAGACTTTGTAGCCTGAGGAAAATTTGCTGTCATTTGCAAGGTCAATATTTGAAACTGCAAGGCTTTGGAAAACCAGGCCCTGTGGAGTACCTTTGCCTTATAGTACATTCCACAATGTGTGATGTTGATTTGTATTTTTGAGTATCTGTGAGGCAGGACACTCCCAGAGTTCTTTACCCCAAAGGGAGCAACCTTGGATAAGAAATTGCTGCTACCATTGTTCACACCAGATGGACACATCATTGGCGATAGTGCAAAAATCTCTAAAAATAGTGCAGATGGAGCTGGTTGTTGCTCTGTTACTAAGACGATTGCCTAAAGTTCAGCCAATTTTGCCAATCCTTGAGGCCCATCCTTTACCAGGGACTTTCAGGTAAAGGGATGAAAATCAGCAAGTCTCTAGTGAGCTCTATATGTGTGATGGTGGCACTACCATCTGTAAAATATACAAACTCTCTTTGTTATTCATTCAGTTGATCCCAACGGGCTCCCCATGTAGTCAAGGGGTCCAGGAGAGGGGTGATCTCCTCCTGCACCATGACATCTGGCAAGGGACTAAGGACAAGGGAGGCCACCCTCTCCTTCAGATGCCATTTACCAGAGAGCCCAGGTTTGACTCTATTTTGTAGATACCATTTTTACTTTAGGAAGGAGTCCTTAGAGACCATGTCAAGCTTGCTGGGTGCTACTTCCATGACACAAGGCATAATAGGAAGCTGGGTGTGGAAGGTCACAGGATCAGGGTTTGTACGACTCTCTATCCCAGAAGAATTCAGTATGTGGCCAGCAGTTGCTCTAATGGCATGTACTGTGGGGACTAGGAAGGCAGTCTCTTGTATCAGAAACCATTATCAAGTAAGCCATTATGGCATTCTATGTAACCTGCAGCCTGAGGCTGGCTGGTAAGGGAGACGGACCACATTTGGCCATTGTGGCAGTCCGGAAACTCCAGGAAGCAAGAGAAGAAGTTGCTAAAGCCTCTACCATGGAGGAGTGTATGGTGAGCACTAATAAAAGTGCCTTTTATATTGCAATTTAACACAAATTCTAGAGCTTTGTTTTAGGGAATCCCACTCAAATGGGGCTAATTTGCAAGAAACAGCATAAATTGGCTTAAGCAGAACTTGTAAATGAGGAATATGTTGTCCCTAAAATTTTTTTTAAAAGATGTTGAGGTTATTTTAGCATTGTGGGTGCTGGGAGAGTCAATAACTGTTTCTTGGCAGTATGAGAGATGGGGTGGCACTTGACTAACCAAATAATGCCCCAAAATGTTATCAAGGTGAAGATGCCTTATACATTATATGGAGCAATGGACTATCTCTTTTTGTGAGCCCCCTTATTAAATATTAAGATATTCTTAAGAGGGCCTCATAATCATAAATGAAAACACAACATACCAAAACTTATGGGATACAGCAAAAGCAGTTCTAAGAGAGAGTTTATAGCAATAAATAGAAAGAGAGAAGAAAGATCCCAAACAAACAACCTAACATTACACTTCAAGGAACTAGATAAAGAAGAACAAACTAAGACTGAAGTTAGGGGACAAAGGAAATAATAAACATTAGAGCAGAAATAAATAAAATAGAAATTAGAAAAACAATAGAAAAGATCAACAATACTAAGAGTTGGGTTTTTGAAAAGATAAACAAAATTTACAAACCTTTAGCTAGACTAACGAAAACAGAGAGGACTCAAATAAAATCAAAAATGAAAGAGGAGACATTACAACTGATAAAACAGAAATACAAAATATCTTAAGAGACTACTATGAACAATTATATGCCAAAAAACTGGATAACCTAGAAGAAATGGATAAATTCCTAGACTCATACAACCTACCAAGACTGAATCATAAAGAAATAGAAAATCTGAAAAGACCAATAATGAGTGAAGAGATTGAATCGGTAATATAAAGTCTTCCATCAAATAATAACCCAGCACATGATGGCGTCACTGCTGAATTCTACCACACATTCAAAGAAGAACTAATGCCAACTGTTCCCAAACTCTACCAAAAAAATGAAGATGAGGGAATACTTCCAAACTTATAAAGCCAACATAACCTTGATACCAAAGACAGACAAGAACACTACAAGAAAAGAATACTGCAGGCCAGTATCCTGATAAACATAGATGCAAAACTTCTCAACAAAATACTAGCAAACTGAATTCAATAGCATATTAAAAGGATCATTCACCCTGATTGAGTGGAATTTATCCTGGGACACAAGGATAGCTCAACATATGCAAAACAGTAAATGTGATAGACCATATTAACAGAATGAAGAGAAAAAACCATATGATCATCTCAATAGATACAGAAAAGTCATTTGACAAAATGAAACACCCTTTCATGATTAAAACTCCAAACAAATTAGGTACAGATGAAATATATCTCAACACAATAAAGGTCAGATAGGACAAGCCCATAGCTAACATCATACTCAATGGTGCGAAGTTGAAAGCTTTCTCTCCAAGATCAGGAACAAGACAAGGATTCCCAATCTCAACACTACTCAACATAGTATTGAAAGTCTTAGCCAGAGCAATTAGGCAAGAGAAAGAAAAAACGTCTAAATTGGAAAGGAAGAAATTAAATTGTCTCTCTTCTCTGATGACATGATCTTATATATAGAAAAACCTAAAGACACCACCAAAAAAACTGTTTAGAACTAATAAACAAATTTAGTAAAATTGTAGAGTACAAAAGCAACACAAAAATCAGTAGCATTTCTACATACTAACAACCAATTACCCCCCAATATTTTTAAAATCCCATTTATAATAGCTACAGAAAAAACACTTAGAAATAAATTTCACCAATGAGGTAAAACACCTGTACATTGAAAATTATAAAATACTGAGGCCCCACCAGAGCAGTGACCAGCAGCCCCATGGGACCCAGGCAAGCGAGGCCCACCCCTAACAGGCCCACCCAGCTGCTGCAGAGGCCCTGCCAGAGCAGTGACAGGCAGCCATGTGTCAGCAATACCCCCTGCCACTGCCGCAAACACCAATGCAGAATGAGTGGGCTGTGACAGCCCCCGCCACAGCAACTGCTGCCACAACAGCAGCCACTGCTACCTCATAGGTTACCTGGTGACCACTCATTAGCATAGACAAAAGGAGTATCACCAGCAGAACCCAGGGAAAGAGGAAACAAAAAAGAGAAAACCCATCCAGAGTCACCCATTCAAATCGAGGAGCACTACTATATCCCAGTGCACCCATCAGGATCAGGGTGAGCTAACCAGGGGGCCAACGGTCCTGCCCAAGAACACTCACTATAATCTAAGAGTGACAAGACCCCAAGATGCTATACCCCAAAATTTGAGAGCTTTCCCGTGTCCTGATGAACCAATGTAGTGTCACTAACCTTAGCAAGAAAATAATAAGTGTCCCAGGGACT